GGATAAAGCCCTGGAAGGTAAAGGGGCCCAGGAAAGTTGTATATCCAAGGATCTCCTCCTCCAGGCTCAGGAGCAACACATCCCAACAAAGAGGAAGTCAGGCACAACCACCAGGAGGTCTGTGTGGATGAACAAAGTGCTCCTGAACAAACACTAGCATTAAAAGGAGGGTGATTAGTGACAGCATAGCTTTACTAAGGGCAAATCATGCCTGACAAATTTGGTGGGTTTGGCCCATCGGTGGATAAGGGAAGAGTGACTGATGTCATCTACCTAGACTTGACACTGTCCTGCACAACATCCTCTCCAAACTGGAGAGGCATGGATTTAATAGATGGACCACTTGGTGGGTATGGAATTGGTTGGATGGTCACAACCAGAGTTGTCAACAGGTTGATGTCCAAGTGGAGACAAGTGACGAGTGGTGCTCCTCAGGGGTCAGTACTGGGACCAGTGTTGTTTACCATCTTTGTCAGCGTCACAGACAGTGGGATTGAGTGCACCCTCAGCAAGTCTGCTGATAGCACCGAGCTCTGTGGTGCAGTCAACACACTGGAGAGAAGGGATGCTATCCACAGGGACCTTGAAAGGCCAATGCAAACCTTACAAAGTTCAACAAGGCCAAATACAAGGTTCTGCATGTGGGTCAGGACAATCCCAAACACTACTACAGGAAACTAGATGATCTTTAAGGTCTCTTCCAACCGTAGCTCATTCAAAGCCTGGGATTCAGTATCTATGCCAGTCTTGCCTTTCTCCAAAAGAACAGTGCAAATGCATAAATCCTTTTTGAATTTTACATCTTTTTGCCAGCAGATTATTAAATTAACCTGCATATGTTGTACAGCTCTACATGGTGGGGTGGAAAATTAAATGAGAGAAGATGAGGTTTGTACCCACGGAGCCTGTGAAATAGGTAGTGGGAGCCAGAAGCAGGTTGCAAGTTCTTGGAGGTAGGGAGTCCTGCATGGAAGGTTCCAGGCAAGTCTTAGGAGCCCCTTTGCTTAGTGCTTTTAAGCTCCCTTTCCCTCTTTAAACTCTTAGGATTTTGCTAAATGCTTGATTTCTCTTTCAGCAGTGCTAGGATGTGTGAAATTATGAAGGGAGCTTGAAATATCCGCACTACCTTAAGTGGCTGCAAAAGAGAGTGAGTTACTGCAGACCAGTAACCAAAATTCTTGCAGAAATAACTTTGAAACCAAATAAACAGCAGCTCTGAAATTTTCATCCCTGCTGTCAGTGTTTGTTTTTGGGGCAGCAGCCTTTTGCTGTGCTGTGCTAGCAAATTGCAGTCCTGGAATCTCAGAGATTAGACACAAGCCTGAGTAGCAGACAGCTGGTGAATGTGTTCTAAAATTGCCCCTTTAACCCAAGGCTGCTCCACTGAATGCTTTTTAGCTCTTATATTTTTAGTTAGATGTGAGATATCTTTGCCCTTTCTATAGGCAGACAGCCTTCATGTATCCCATGCTTCCTATTGATGGAGCAGAGTGCAGTCTTTAGCTTCTGTTAACTTGCCAGCAGTACTGTACTGGAAATTTCTGATTCAGAAATAGGTCTCCTATAAATGATTTAACATCAGACCATTGAAATGCTTTTGTGTTTTCCTTCTTAGGGCGATTAAAGGCGTAGAAAAAACTTCTAGCACCAAATTAATGGTTGAATTTTTGTTTTAATCGTACAGATAGGGTTGATTTATATCTCAAATATGTTCTGCAGAGAGGAATTATAATATTACACAATTTTTCAGTTGTACTTAGTTTTTTTTTTTTTTATGCCAACATTTTCAGCTAGATGTTGTTTCTTTAATGCGGTGAGTTTTCTTTTTCAGTAACCGTAAGGTGCTGCATTTCATTCTCTAGTTTGCAGTCCTTTGGTTGAAAAGCTCGTCTGTGGTCTATAGTAATTGGGAAGCTGGGACCAGGCAGAGGTGCAGGGGCTCTTTACCCTCTCCCCTTGTCATGGAGGGATGTAAAAGCAGAAGGGTGACAGGCTGCTTGCAGTCTTTGAGAGAGGCAGACCCAGCTGAAGAGAAAGAAACAATGCACTCCTACATACAGATGGGAGAGAACATTAAATGTCAGAGCAGGAATTTTGCACAATAGTGTCTCTTCTGATAAAATCAGGTTGGCTTTCCCTTGAGGATTATACAGAGATAAACTGCCTTAGCTCATTAGCACCTCCCTTTCCTCTTGCTCCCTGGTGATTGCTTTAGGTTTGATGGCAGCTGGTGATGGTAGGACTTGCTCTGATCTGGGGTGCAGTGCTGGAAAGGTGGCACATCCTGAAGACTGAGATGTCAGGTTCTGTGCCATTTCTTGCAGCTAATATTAAACTAGCTCAGCCGATGTATTGATGCTTGGGCCTTCCTTTTCCCAGTGTTTAGTGCTGTCAGTGTGTGAAAGCAACTGTTAGATTCACTGGATTTAGTTTCTGAACAAATGAGCTTTCTTATACTAGCTCCCACTAACAGAACTTCTGGAGCAGCAATGGAAATGAGCTTTACTTCATAATCCTGGAAAGCATGATGGGCTGGGTCTTTGATAAATGATCTGGCACGTATTAAAAGGAAGTGATGTTTTTAGATATGCCTTCAAGTAAGGTCTCTAATGATATTACCGCGACACTACAGTCACTGCAAATGGTCAGTTCTCTGAAAGAAATACACATCCCTGCTCCATCCCTGGCAGTGTTTAAGGCCAGGCTGCACAGAGTCTTGGGCAACATGGTCTACTGTGAGTTCTAACCCAAGGCAGGGGGGTTGGAACTAGATGATCTTAAGGTCCTTTCCAACCCTAACTGTTCTAAGATTCTACATTTAGGGAGCATCTGCGGAGTTACATTATGTGCCTTGTGGCTATCTGTACACATTCCCACTTGCTAAAACTGGTCTAAGCAATTTTGATCCCTCACCACGTCCTGCTGGAGGTTAACACTTCTTGATATATGCTGGTTGATGGGTGTGATTGTTCCGGTGATCCTCTGACCTTCAGCCAGAAAAAGCAAAAGTATAAAGTCATTAAGGTTGTGGCCTATATGGGGTATATCTTCATGAAATGGAGAATTGCTGCTGTGATAAAAAGGAGACTGTGCATTTATGAAGTGTCATGTTAAATAAATCCACTTGGAAGCTTATATGTACAGCATTTTTACCGCTTAATCACAGTAGTGGAAGGATGGTGCTTTTCTGCTTTTTAATTTCATATATTTAAACCTCCCCCATTTGCTGGAATGTAGAGAAGCTAGCTGCTGATTTGTGCTATCTTGCATATTCTTCCTATGTGTTTTCTCAGTGGCTCTACTCTTTATAATTGTTAATTGCCCCTCCTCTAAGTAAGGAGAATGAATCCTGCACAGATCTGCCTAGCTTTTGCTGCAGGCATGTCTCCAGCTAACTCTGTGGCACTACCAGGAAGGAAGAAGTGACAAGTACATGTTAATCATGATAGGGTCATGGCCTATTTAAGCCCAGAGACATAAAAAGAGTTTAGAAATTAAGATACTGCTTAGCATGACAAAAATGTCCTCAGGTTAGGTTCCTCACTTGGAAGACTGGCTGTGCATGTGAACTCTGCACATCGCGGCAGGTATGTCTTGCTGAAATTGCAAAAGTCTCCACTTTTTCACATCCCAAGTCAGGGAGGAGAGAAAAGACTTTTCTGCTGGCAGTATTTATAACTCATTTGGGACTGTAGTATCAGATTATGTTTTCATTCCACTTGTTGCTGCCATTTTTATTTAAATTTTAAGAACAGCATTTCCCCTAAAAACCTTTATCATTAGGCTGACTCTGAGGGTGTTCCTTCTCATCAGCTTTGCAGTAATGGCAGCCAGGTTGATAAGGCTCTCAACTTAATCTCAGGCTGTATTTCCAATGACAAAAATTGGCCTTTAGCCTTAGAGGATATGGATCCTGGAATATAGCTATTACCTTGTACTGGAGCACGTTTAATTTATGCTCTGTGCATTTTCTCTGTGCTGTGACTTGATGCTGGCAGCAATGCTGAGCAGAGGATGGAAGAGGCTTTGGAAATTAAGCCCTTGCAGGTGAACAGGTCAGAAGTAGAAGGGAACAAAACTGAAACCATCACAAATTCTCCCAAGTTCTTTGCTGTACTTACATGGGTTAATCTAATCTCATTAATGTGATGCTACAGTTGTCAAAAGCAAAGAGGAAACAATGTTGTGTCTCTATTGTAGGTACTATTGTGGTACTACTAACTGTGGTGTGCTGGATCAGGAAAAGCATTTCTTCCAGGTGATGTGCTTCAGAGTATGGCCAAATTAAATGAGAAGAACAGTTGCTACAATTCCCACAGACAGCTGTGAGAAGTTATCTGGAGCTCTGCTTAAATACCTGTGTAGCTCACGAACAACTGTACATTTGCAGATCCTTGTAACCTTTACTGGAAGTAATCTTCTTGCATGAGCAGGAACTCCTCTGACTAACGCACTTGGGGAGAACGAAGGCCTATTTCTTTCATATATCACTCTGCTCATTTTCTGGAAGGCTGTTTGATGGGGGAGAATAGCTTGGAGAAATGTGGTTGTTCTCATTGTGTTCGGCAGTGATTTGAGGATGTAGTAGAAAGCAGCCTAGGGGAGCAGGGACAGACGGACCGTAATAGTGATCTTGGTTATTTTTTCTTTTCCTGTCCTATATTGATGCATTGGAAAAGGTCAGCTCATGGCCCCATCTGCTTTTGTTTTGTTTCCTAATAAAATGTTAGTGGACAAACCCAGCAGTATGTTTTCCCACTTCCAAAATACCTGAAAGAAAAGGTTTTAAGCAGCATCCTTTTATATTTCTAAAGGGTCTTTTATCTGACTTTATCAGAAATGTATTGTGCCTCCAGTATGCAAAACTGCTGTTTAACTTCTTTTTCACCCTAAAAGTCCTCTTAAACCTCTGCAGGACAAGGCGCTTTTAGGTGTGATTAGCTAAGATTTTGCGGGAGCTGTAACATTTAAAAACAGTAATACTTTTCCTTTCTATACAGTGGGAAGAAATTGGTGAGGTGGATGAAAACTACGCTCCGATACACACATACCAAGTATGCAAGGTAATGGAACAGAACCAGAACAACTGGCTTCTGACCAGCTGGATCTCTAATGAAGGGGCATCCCGCATCTTCATAGAGCTCAAATTCACCCTGAGGGACTGTAACAGCCTTCCAGGAGGACTTGGGACTTGCAAAGAGACTTTTAACATGTATTACTTTGAATCAGATGATGAAGATGGGAGGAACATCAAAGAAAACCAGTACATCAAGATTGACACCATTGCTGCTGATGAGAGCTTTACAGAGTTAGATCTTGGTGACAGAGTTATGAAGCTAAACACGGAGGTGAGAGATGTTGGTCCCTTAACAAAAAAGGGATTTTACCTTGCTTTCCAGGATGTGGGTGCCTGCATTGCCCTGGTCTCTGTGCGTGTGTACTACAAGAAATGCCCATCGGTGATCCGCAACCTGGCCCGCTTTCCTGACACCATCACAGGAGCAGATTCCTCACAGCTGCTGGAGGTGTCAGGCGTCTGCGTCAACCATTCGGTGACTGATGAAGCACCAAAGATGCACTGCAGTGCTGAGGGGGAATGGCTGGTGCCCATCGGCAAGTGCTTGTGCAAGGCAGGGTATGAGGAGAAGAACAATACCTGCCAAGGTAAGGGTTTGCAGGAAGGGTGCTGTACTGAGGTGATGTGCGGTCTCAGCTTTCTTCTCTTCCACGTCCTTCATGCCTGGTTGAGTTGACAGTGGTGGATCAGGTTCTCACTTCCACTGAGGTTCTTTGAATGCCTTTAGCATCAGGAAGGGAGAGGCCTTGGCTGGACATAGTGGGACTTGACACTTGTGTATGGGTGCTTCTGGTGCTTGCAGGGCTGTGGACAAGGAGAATCTGTCACACCACTATTATCTTTGGAGCACTGTACTGCTGAGTCCATGAGCCAATTGCAATTTTATCGGTTATTTAAGGCTGTACCTTTTTCTCCTCAGCATTGGTGTTTCCTTATGGATTTTAGAAGCTTGATTTCTTTTTTTCTGGATTGTAATAGGGAATGTTTGAAGTTAATCTCCCTCTGCAAGATGCATTTTGTTTCTGTATTTAAAGGAGTATGTTTTTCTTTCTTTGTGGGGGGGGAGTGAGGATTTGATGTGGTGAGGTGATTGATTTTCCTCTCTGGTAAACAGTTTAATATGAAGCTGTTCAGCTGTTTAGAGTTAAACCTAAAGAGCTACCAACAAAAATGCTTTCATATGTGCTGAAGTTTTGACACAAGTAGCTGGCTGAGGTTCCTGAGTTGCTGGTCAGCAATGCTGGTCTCCTGAATCATCAGGGGCTTTTTGCAAGAGATCTGAAGCTTAAGACCTAAAATGAATACTTTTAAAATGCAACATACTCGAGGAGTGTATAATCTCATTTTATGGTTTGCTGTATTACATGCTGGTTTATAAAATCTGCCCCTCTCTTGTAAATATGTAACAGGTAGCTTAAAACTGATTTGGACATTAAAAAGAAGGGGAAAGGGAAAAAAAAAAAGCCCAACATTTCACTGCAGTTTGCCTTTTGCAAAATAACTATATGTTGGTTATCAGTCCCATCTTAACTGCCTGCACTTCAGCCACTTAGTAGTACCTAGCCTGTGGGGAAGTCAGAGGGATTCTGTTCCAGTCAAAGGTGGTGGTGAATTTTTCTCTTCAACTCACTCCAGACACTTTTTATTTATGATTGTAGTGTTGGTGCAAAGGCTAGATCAGTACATATCCAAAGCAAACTGGCCTCGATCCTTTTATACTTGGTCACACACTGTACCTCAGAAGTTCAAGTCTTTTCAAGGGAGAATTTTCTTGGAGAGAAAATGTAGGTAATATTGTTTTTGGAGAACCCTCTAGTAAACAGCATGTGGAGTGTGCTTTTTAACCAGGGTAGTCGTCTTCTTTTTTTGCAGATGTAGTCCATGCAACAACATCTGACTTGGTTTTGCTTTTCCTGTGCTAATAAAAATACTTCTTCCATGGGGAAGGGGGAGAAGAATCAGACTTGATATTTGATACTGCACAAGGGGAGCCAAGATCAACATTAGCCCAAGCTGAGGAAATCCACATTGTCAGATGAGAGGTGTGGGTCAAATAGATCAACAAGGATATGCTTCATTATGGATAAAAATATTCTTATACTTCACCTACAGGCTTCACCCTTGGCAGGAGTTCATTAAGTAATTTAATTGGTCTAGAGCTGTTAAAGCCCATAATTCTTATTTGTAGGAAAGCCCTAAATTCCATCACCAAATCAGTGGGACACTGGGATCTGAGCGCCTACAGCAAAGTCTGTTTGAGGGCCCTGTTTGGGTATGCTGGTGTTTAACCCAGGTCATTGTGCCAAGTGTTTCCTGCTTGTTGACTCTGAGGAGATGCTCAGTCCATAGGAGATATTCAGCCTTAGGCCATTCAGGTTGTCTGCACTCAGCGTGTATGGAATTCATGCTGAAGCTTTGTGAGTAAAGTGCTTTCTTGTTTGGGTATTATTATAGTCATAAGGATGAGAGCTTTTTTATAGGACAGTGAAGTTAAATTTTGCAACCCACAAGCAGTATAAGTAATACCAAGAAAGGTCCTGTGTGCTTGTAGATGCCTCTTCCTACTGCCCCACTGGCCTGACTGGTGTTTAGGAAATGCACTCTGTGCTCCTGGCTGACATAATGATGATCTTGGCTCTCTTCAGTGTAGCTTAGACAAACACCTAAATAAACTCTGACCTTTGGTTTGTAAATCACTTGGCTGCATCTTGCAAGCAGTCTCCCTGCTTCCTTTTGCTTAAGCATAAGCAGGTTATTAATGATCATGCTTTAGGAAACTCTTTCAACCCAGAAGAGCCTGGCTTTGTTTATTAAAATTTCTCCTGCAAATATGACATTTTCCAAGCTCTAGTGTCATGTCTGGACAGAGCAGACTACACTCTCTTATTAGAGGTAATGTAAATCCCAGTCGCTCTCACAAACATATGGGAACTATTGAAATCCCTTCTGCCTACAAATCATTAATTGGCAACGATGTTCTGAATTCATCATCCTGTCAGCAGGGTTCCTGTTTGAAGAAGGTACTGACAGTAACAGCTGAGCAGTTTCTCTCGCTGGGGACACTGAAGCTGTAAATATGACATGGTCTAATCTCCTTATATAATGTACTCACTCTCTCAATTAATATAGGTGGCTAGGTAGTATTTACTGTAAAGAACCCAAACTAGTTGGATTTTATACATCCTTTGGCAACATGGCTCATTTATCAGCATCTGCTATGGAACAGTTAGAGGTAAATTGTGACTGTTTTGGGACATGTTTATAAAGGACTGGTGTTAAGGTTCATTATTCACAAGAATAAATTGCTGTACTAGTTAATAAGAGAAATGAAAGCAGTTGCTCTGTGAATTTCTGTGCTGGTTTCCAGAGCTGTGATTTGGTACTGCTGAAAGGACTAATGGTTATTGTCTTTGCTTCGGTTCAGCTGGTGCTGTCTGAATGGGACCTTGAGGAAAATTGAGGGAAGTGCCCAGTTTCAAGTCTGTTTGGTCTATTTCAAGTCTCCTAATGGTGGTATCCTTCTTAGCAGGCAGTACTCAACCAAAGTTAATGGCCAGTTCCCCAGATACTGTACAAACATCATGCAGCACCACTGAAATATCTGCCTTTATCCATTTAGGGGGTTGGCAAAAAAAATTCTTATCTGCCCCGGTCTATGCTTTCCTTCTTCCTGCACTGGCATAGATGGGTTTTATTGTAACTTCAGTTTTAGTTGCTTTCTGTATATAGCAGGGCTCACTACTGGGGTTTGTGTAGGAAGTTAATAAAGCTGCTGTGAAAAGGGCACCTTCTAGCACTTCTCTTTGTATTCATCCTCACCTTCAGCCCAATGTGTTCTTAGTAAGAAGTACTTACTTTTATGCCTTTCAAGGCTTTGGAGCCCATGGTACTGGAAGGGAGAGGATGTTGACAGGTTAAGCTAATGAGACCCAAATACAATTGCAGTGCTGAGGTCCTGCTAGTGACCAGAGTGGTAATTGTGGGTGTAATTGATTTGCAGAGCCTGGTTTTTTTTTTTCATCTGCTTTTAGAGCTGAATCAAAAATTAATTAAATATTTGAGTTTTTTAAAGAAAGGAAAAGGGGGGGGGAGGGGAGAAAAACTGTACTGAATGAGAGCCCAGCTGAGAAGGTGGATAATGAGTTCAGGAGGTTGTAAGGCTTTCCTTTCCAAGAATCAGTGTATGCTGCTACTTAAGAGACATCAAAAAGAGTACAGCTGGTTTTAGTCAGCTACAAGTATGGATAAGATTACAGATGTTAGAGGTGGACAAAATAATGGAGGAAAACTCAGTGAAATCTTTCTTTACCCTTGCCTTCTTCTGAGGAGGAACTTTGAGGGCTGGAGGGAGGATGGATTGCAGTATTGTTTTCTGGTTTTAGAAAGGAATTGCTGCCAGAGGAAATACTTGGATATTTTTCATTTGTAAAACAACTCTAGTGTTCAAGCCCTTCTGCTGTCTTAAATATTGATGTTTGCTTGATTATTCTTCCCTTAATCAACTTTGAGCATACCTCAGTGCATTTGCCAAACAATATTTATTTTTGCTGATTGTTCATTGCTTGTGTTGCAATTCAGCTGAGCTCTGCCAAGAGAAATGAGAATTTCTTACAGAAAACAAAGCTGGAAAAAAACCTTGTGTTCACAGGTCTTTTATTCTTGATATAATTAAAACTAATTGACATAGGTAGCTAGTATACATAGATCAGAAGTTTACCTGATAAATCAGTTCTCAGGTGATTTTGTTGCTGGCTGATTGGGGGTGGAACAGAGTTCTTCCTCTAAGAGCAGTGCAATCAGTGCAGGCATTTGAAGGCACTTTCCTAGAGCAGTGATTGCCCCCCTGTTGATCAGCTACTGGAAGGATATTCAGAGGCAACTGGGTTTCTTGCAGCTGTGCAGGAGCAGGCAGGCAGAGGTAGTGACCCTCGGCTGGTAGGTGGCACCATCTAGGCTTGCCAATGATGGTGATGGCTTGATGAATATCGCATTTCTGTGTCTGCGCAACAGCTATCCTAGAGGCCTGACCTGTGAATGAAGCACGTTGCTGATACCACAGTAAAAAAAAACATCTCTATTTTTAACAAATTCACTGTGTGTGGTTTCCTCAAGTGACATAGTGCTGCAGCTCAGACATTGCTTTCCCTGTCTCCTTATTTCTAGGAAATGGAAACGTGCTGCTGCACAGGTACCCTTATTTTGGAGCTTGGGCTTTTGCCCGAAGCAGCCAGTAAACTAGTTTTGCATCTGATGTAGGTGGAGGAGGGGGGCAAATTTTCTTCCTCTATATCTTGTTTGCTTGCCTTTCTGACTCAGGGCTGAATTCTTGCTCTAAACTCCTTGTTGCAGATGCTATAATGACAGCATGCTGCTAAATCCTGCTTGTCTTGTGGGACACTTCCCAGCTGGGGCTTAGGTGAATAAGGCAAGTGTGCTTTTACCCTTGTGGTGGAGTGGAAAGCAAGCGCGGTCCAGGGATAAAAAGCAACCAACCAAACAAAAAAAACCCACCCCACTTTTAATTGTTCTACTGGGAGGTGATTACATGGAAAGAGAAGCATTGATGGAATTATTCAGTATATGGAGA